TTCTTACTCATTTTCCCCTCTTCCCTCTTCTCCTCCTTGTCATCTTCCCCTTCAGGCAAAGCCTACCTGCCTATGGCCCTCACTGCAAGGGAAGACACAGCCCTCTTTCTAAGGCAGCACTGTGGGTGCTTGACAACATCGCTGGGACATCAAAACACCCGGCACTGCCTGCTGCATCCTTCACCTGGGTGGTTACTGCCCCAAAACGCTCTATTTCAAGAAAATTGAGCTATTTGTAGGTGCATAATCAGTTCTGTCAGCAGTTTCTTCTGGAGTTGTGAGAGGAGAAGGCCTTCAGGAAGAATTAAACAGAAATGGTAGGATTCTGATGGATTATTTGGGAATTGCAGGCCCACAGGAAAGCACAGACCTGTGGGAGAAGGGCCCAGAGCTGGATGGTCTCACATGAAACCTGCGCTGCACCAATACTCCCAAAACAGTGTTTGGTGGTGGGCTCAGTAGGTCATGTGGCCTGTTACAGCAACAGAGGCCACACAACAGCAACCTCTTTCCTTGGGAGGAGTGAACGTGCATATGAAAGGGACAACAGTACAGAGGGGAAAAAATAGGAGATGGACCCGCATGTCACTGGTCTCAGAGACCCAACAGAAGCAGCTCAGTGTTCGGCCCCAAGAAGGCAGGAGGCGGCAGCGGCCGGAGCACGAGAACCAGCCTGCCCTGCCTATGGGAGGAGCTGAGAACGGGGCCAGCACATCACATTTGTCCAGTGTTCAGGGAGGCACCGGCTGCCTCCAGGAGAAGTCCTAGGCAAGTCCTCCCTCCTCAAACCTGAAAATAGCCCTTTCAAAGGGGTAATGAGCCAGGTGAAAAGAGGTAGAGTTGGTGGGAAATAATATTCCTCCAAGACAACCTTCCTCAGGCTGGAGAAGAAACGTATTTTATGTCTGTAGAGAGGTTACCTTGGCTCGATGACTGCAAACAGAATAACCCGGGTAGGTTTGCTTACCTGCATGAGCAACACAACCTGCCCACCCATCCGTGCCAACACGTGGCACCACGACTGTGGTAGGACACATGCATGAGGCCTTTGGGATGCAGCAGTGAAAGACCTCCCTCTCCCAGCCAGAGCACTACTTCCAGATGTGGAGGAGCAATCAAACCTGTCCTAAGAAACCAAAAGATTCTTCTTGCATCTTGCCCCAAGACAAGGAAAAGACCGAACTGTGGGATGGTCACCAGCAATGCCTCAAAAGAATGGTACAGCCTAGTGAAAAGGTGAGTAAAGAGAAAGAAATGGGGTAGAAGCAGCAATGACAGCAAAATGGATGCATAAACAGGACAAAGTGGGAAAAGTGTGGTCACCATAAGCATTCTTTATATTGAAGGATATGTCTAACAATGTTTCTAATGTCTGCAAGCACTGGTGGTTCACACCTCAAAGACTGTGGCTGCCAATATGGGAGTGAAGGGATCACGCATAGGAAATTGGGCAGTACGGGACCAACGAGCTGGTGGTTTGGGAATGAAGAACTGGTGGTTCGTTTGTGAGAGCAGGGCTGAACCCTGCACGCCCTGCTCACTGCAGCACCTGCACGCTCTCAGCAGCTCAGAAGGTCAAGTTCCCCTTTGGGGACCTGGTCAGTGCTTGCAGCCATCCCCGGATTTCTCTTTTAGCGGAGTCACCTGGGGTTTAAGTGGTGTTTCCAGGTTCTTGCAGATGGGTGTTCCTGCCCCTTGGGTCCTCCCCAGTCCCTCCTCGCTCACACCTCATGCACCCCGTCCTGCTGCTCACCCAGCTCTTCCTCCGCGCTGCCCCACTGCCTGCCCCTCTTCCCCCTTGGTGTGTCTCCGCTCACTTCCTTCCATTCTGCCTCTCTCCTGCCTTTTCCCTTCCCAGCTAACCCTTTACTGCCACATGCCAAAACCTTCCAAAATTTAGAGAAGTCTCCTTTCCGAGATGAGAAGTGATAATCCAGACTACTATCTCACCGAGCCATGTAAAAATCCGGTCCTCCCCCTTTCTACCACCTCCTTTGCAGTCACGATGATCACTCTTTTGTCTAACCTTAAATTATAAGCACTTTGGGGCAGTGCCAGCAACTGGTCCCCAGAATTCCATACAGCACCCATTATCCTATATATTAGTTTATAATCCTATCTTAGGATCCTATATCTTAGTTTAAATCCTACATGTTTGATTTTTGCTAAGCTCTATGGAAATCCAAATAAGCAGGACGAGAAGCAGGACTAGAGGCAGACAGACATACACGTCCCGTCAACAGGAAGTTTCTCTTGCATAACTTCTCTGGCGGTTGGAGAAGGCTCAATGTGGCTGGGTTTATTTTCCTCACTGCAAATTATAATAGTCAGGACAAAAGTGAACACAAAGAAAAATTGTTTCTGAGAAAGGGGATTTTCGAAAGGCAGATGATTTTTAGCACGCAAAGCTGCCCTCGTGAAACATCTGCTATGACGTGGGCCGGTTCTGGCTATGGACCAAGCACATCAATAGCTCCACAGAGTAATGGGATAAGAAATGGGAAAACTGCCATTGCTTGTTTAGCAGCTTGTTTTGCTGATAAATGTCTGTCACTTTTCAAATAGCTACAGTGTAATTGTTTCGGGGGGAAAATATTTCCTTGAGCAGGAGGTTTGCAGGCCATTAGCTATTTCCCATCTGTGCTGGTGTTTTAATACACCACACATAGACTTTGCTCTCTCTTAGAAAATATTCACAGCTTTGATTAGAGACAGACAGCCTGAAGTTAGAAATCATATCCGTCATTGAAAAGTTTTCTCAAGCTTTACCAAAATATGTATTTTAAAAATACATATTTAAATAGTGGAGCTGGTATTTTTGGAAAGAAATTTAACTTACAAAGATTGGTAGGGAAAAAAAATGCTCCCATACACCTGTAGCTTACAAACAAGTGACACTGCAGAAGCAAGGGCCGCTTGAGCGCGGTGGTGGCCTCTGTGTGTGCACCCAGGGCTGGTGCCACCCGGGAGGCCCCCGTCCCGCTGCCAGGCACCGCGGCCTCACCAGGAACCATCGCAGCATCTTCTAAATCGTGCAGTGAATATTTCAGCTATCACCTGAGAGCTCTTAGAAGCTCTAGTCTCTGTGCGATTGAGCCCTCTCTTCAATATCACAAAGTACCTCTAATAACTATCAACTTGCACTTCACACACACGCACCCGGCGTACAGTAACTCACAGGAGCTGAGCCATGCCCTAGGCGTCGCACTGTCCTTCCGTGTCCCATCCCCTCAGAAAAACAAAAAGAGAAAACACAAGGAGCAATTTAAAAGTGTGCGCACTGTTGCAGATTTATTGCAGCCTTAAACTTGGTTTCTTTTTCAAATCCTTTGTGTTCTTGGAATTCAAGATGATCACACGTAGGTTGGATCCTAGGTATTTTTTAGGCTTAACTGAATTAAACTAGTAAAAAGAAAAGAGATTCAGGATGAGAAGGTGCCTTGTCCAAGCACGATTACAGGAATAGTGTGAAACTCCCAAATCTAGTCCCACACAGAAGAGAAAACCTGTATTCTTATTTGCCATTAGGACCAATAGGCCAAAGAACCAACATACACACAGTGATTGCTTTTCAAAATTTATTGTAAAAAAAGGTATTAAACATTTGGAAAAATGCACCTTTTCAACTCACCACATATTGCTTTACATGAAAACAATGGACAAACATAAAAGATGTATCTGCTCATTCTCTTGTCCATGTATCAAATGATCCAAGCTACATTTGACATGCTCATGGGAAAAATATTGGCAGGATCACAGCATATGGAAGTGGAAATAAAAAACATGCAGTATTTTCATTGCAGATGGGAGGCCTACTTCCTGGAGTCTAAAGATCATGTTATTTATCTGCTTTCCTTTAGCATAACATACACTATCAGACTTTCATAACTTCAGACACCGGCAGAAAATCCTGACTTTTTGCCAATAGTGACATACCCACCTCAAAGATAAATGTGGAAGCCAGAATGTCTGCCTTGTTTCTGCTGGCAACTTCCTTTCCATAGGAACACGCGCGTGATCCAGCTCTCGCTAGCAGACATTTAAAGCCAGCCCTCTTCTACTTATACCAGTTCAACCCCACTGGAGGTCCTCAGGACCACACAAAACACGGAGGACAGCAGAGTCCCAGTGCCGCAGCACATGCCACAGCTTGCCCTAACGCTGAATTATCCATGGCAAGCATATTTGGCAGGTCATCCACTTTTGTCTAGGAACAGAAAGATGGCAGACTCTGCATTAAAATGTGTTACAAAAAAAAGAAAAAAGAAAAAACCTGTTTTTTTACAGAGTTCTAACTCATGTCAAAACAGTGAAGCACCAGTGTAACTTACAGAGCAAAATTTGAACCAAGTGCTAAAATGATGAATGATGAGCACCCAGTAGTATTTCCTTGGTGCATTTAGCTTTACCATCAGCTGGTGAAAAACTGACCTAGCTTCAGTTTCATGCCAAAAGCACTAAACACACAAAACTTACGTCACACTGCACCTTGGGCACCACCTCCGTTTCAAACCAAGGTAGGAATTTATACATACCTTGTGCAATATGGTGCATTGTTATAGATGACATGAACACAGAAACTAAGTACTCAGAAAACAGGGCTCAACATAAACCCGTGGCCAATGCTGAACCACAGCACCTAACCATTTTCACCCTGTGGCGCTGGCTGAAAACTGGTGATAGGAACCACAGCAGCTGGAGGTGACTCCAGAGTTGACAGTCACCGGTGCAGAGCACAGTGGAACATTTGGTCATTCTGGAAGAAGACAAAATGGAGCAATACAGGAAATTCCATGCTGAGAGCACAAAGTCAAACATTTGTTCTCCTGCACATCGTAAAAAAGTATTTTTGGTTACAAATTACGATTGCAAACAATCTTCTCGTAGACAAAACTAAGAACAGCTCTACCTAAAAAGCTCTGAGAAGGGTCAAACACAAACCCTAACAAGCCTCCTCCTATATAAATCCACTTCTCTCGGGGCTTGCAAGTCTCCTTATTTTAGGAAAGACCTTCCTCTTGGTCAATCAGTTCAGTTTTGGTGGAGAACACATCCGCCAGCATGTGCTTCGGGATCTCGGATCCCCGAACCTTCAGCGTGTAGCAGGCATTCTCTACTTTGGCCAGGCTCTGTTTCAGGGTATACAGCTTCTTAGACACTTCGTAAGGTCCAGTGTTGCCAATAAAGGTAAAACCATCATAAATTTGGCGTAAAAACTGGCTCAGTTCAAAGGGTGTGTCTATGTCCCCATTCCCCACGCTGCTGATGCACAGTCGCATGAGCTCGCCGGTGAGATCCGCCACTCCCAGCAGGTAATCCACGGGGGTCACCTTCAGGCTCCAGGTGGGCGGCTGCTTGTCCTGGGAGTCACAAGGCTGAAGACAGAAGACAGCAAGGCTCAGTACAGAACGGTAGGAAAAAGCAGTCCGTGACAATTCAGACGCACGCGACGTTATCTCACGTAACTGCAAAGCAATTGGTAATTCAAAACATTCTGGGAAAATAAATTCCATGGCACTTCCACATAATTGGATTTTCCAAAGTACTCTCCTTCTAGCATTCTGTAAAGTATGAAGGCATCATTTCCACTGGAGATGTGATTTCCATTCTGGAGAGCATAAGGAACATGCCCTCTGTCTAGCGTATCTGTTGGCAAACAGAATTTCTACAGGATGGCAGGTAGAATAAATGTATTTCTCACACCTGTTTTACATGAACTCAATTTATTAAATACCAAGCACTTCTTGAAGAAAACTTGTCACAAAGTCACAAAAGCTCCTATATCCTGATTTCCCACATGCTATTTCCAAAATATTGGAGACAACACAAGTTTGTTGCCGTTCATTTGTTCCCACAACCTACTTGCACCTAAACTTGACTTAAATCTACTTAGAGCTCTGGGGGAGCAGTTCAACAACTTCACAGTCTGTGAAAACAAGTGTGTTGCAATAGCTTGGCTTTTGGTAAGAACAAGTGAGCTTAAGCTGAAAACTTGGTTTTGCTTGCAAATATCTTACCAAGGGAATGAAGAAGGAAGCGCTTTACAGCAGAACGCCTTCAGTGGCAGCGCTCTGCAGTTCAGCTACAGCAGTAACACTCTGCTCTTCTGCAGAATTCCCTCTTCAAACAAACTAGCCATTGAATTGTGATCAGTGGTAGTAGTTTGTTCAATAAAAAAAATGTTGATTTAGGGCAAGACTGGAGCACAGGCAGGTCAAGGAACAGCAGGTGTAGGATTACTGCAGTGGAATATGGCTTGTCCTCTTACAGGAAATCTCAAGATCAACTCCAGGGAGGAGTCAAAATACTGAGCCCAGGCACAGATAATGCATTTTAATAGCAGCTGAATACAGTTGCTCTTTGCTAATGCCTTCTATGATTGGCTTGTTACTGAGCAACAAGATTTCCAGAGTTCAACTCCTGCATTTGTTTCCTCCAACCTTTGCTACACCAGTGCTCCCCAGCACACTGGGAGACATAATAACAGCCATAAAAAAACCCTCGCCTCTACATTTGTATTTTACCATCTTGACTCTTTCTGCCTACCAGGAGGGGCTCAGTTTGTCCTGAATAAAAAAATAAAAATAATTAAAAATATAAGTGGAATGATTAAAACTTCTATCCCACAGATTTAGGTTACTCCTTGTCAGAATAAAAAGGACATTTTGAACATGTGAGTTGAAGTCTACAAGTACATTTAACCCCATTCCTCTAACTGAAACTATTTAATGATAATGCCAAAAAAGATGCAACTAAGCAAAGTAACTGCAGAGACTTGTGCAAGTCTTCTCTCATGTGAAGAAAGAAAAACTTTTACCTTGTTTGTTATTTCTTCTTTGTCTTCTGCTGTAAATATTAGTTGGTTGTTGATCTCTTCAACACTAACTAAAGATCGTGTTTTGATAAAATACTGAAATGAAACTGCCTCAACATACTCTTGAAGCCCTGTAGAAACAACAGAAGAACTCAAATCATGATTCAAACTTTCCAGTAATGATCCATGCTTACAATTATTCCAGAAATCTTTTAAATTAGGTTATTTTAAGGTGACTAATTAAAGGTGAAAACTAGGGTAATCTACAAATAGCACGAAAAGCTAAGTTAACACAACATTCATCTAAAATATAAAAACTAAACCAAAGGCATAGCAGATAAACATTTTTACCCCAACATATTTTTTAATGAAGTTTCCTTCATTTCCTCTCATTCGTGACTGTAGATTCCCATTTAAACTTGAATTTCCCGCTTGTGTTTTGTGAGAGTCAGTGAACAGAGTTTTTAAAACATAAAGGTTAGGTGAAATTCATGCCCAGGCCAAAGCACCTTTTGTTATAAATCACTCGTGTGGAGACAAAAATTAATAAATAATCAAATAATCACACAGGGCTATAACGTCCAGCAAGAGGAACATAGTGAAGGACAGCCCCATCCCACCGCACTTGCTCTCTAGAAAACAAGGCCTACAGGTGGAAAAAAAAAAAAAAGTTGGTGTGCTGGCAAGGAAATAAAAACTGGGATAACAAATAAATATCGCAGATCTGCAGCAGATCTGTATCCATCTGCAGCCACCTGTCACAATTACCTCCCATAATCTAATAAGCAGATGGCGATTTTCCCATAACCTAAGGTGACATCTAAAAATGAACTTGAATGTTCAGTGATTTCATAAATTCTGACTTTTTTTTTGTATGTGCAAGGGCAGATTTGGGGGAAAGCCTGTAGAAAAGGCTCATAAGTTGGCAATAGGTCTTGTTGGAGAGAGAAAAAAAAAAAACAATAAGTAGAAATGAACCTAGAACAAACGGGCATGGTTGGACTAACCTAGAGAGTTTTGAAGACAAAAAAAACAATACATTTGAACCTGACCTATGGACAGAGAGCTAGCCAAAGAGGAAATTAAGAGAACAGACTGCAACAGGACAGATCGTCGTCACAGGGGCGTTTTGAAAACCTTTGGGAGGAGCAAAGGAGATGATATGGTGCAGCCTCTTCCCTTCCCGTTCCTGCGGACACGTTCTCCCGTGCTCCTCCCTGCTGCCGTTTAACAGCACCCACACAACCCCGTTTGCCACCTACCTCCACCTCCTCTGCAGGACTAGGAGACCCACCTCCCACCCAGTACAACCAGCCTTACAAAACCTCATTTGAAGCTGCTACACACACAAGCTGACAAAAACTCCTTTGCCAAAGTATTCCCATTTCACTTTTTCAAGTCTTTCTTCTAGAAGTAGCTAAAATACGACACTTCAGCGACCCAAGACCTTGAAATAAGGTGTTTTCATGTGCAGGTAAACGGATGTTTGAACATGTTATGTTTTAGCTTAATGGAAGGACATCCGCTACTTTCAGAAAATAATCCCCAAGGTGAAAAACCCCATCCCATTTCACTACTCCATCCAACAATACCTTTCCCCTTTTGCTCTTGTTTGGATTTGGTCCAAAACTGGATTATTTACAGATTGAGCTGCCAGTAATGGAATAGTTTGTAAGACTGCCTTTTATGTGAATCATTCTGGGTTTTTTAGCACATGTACCAGCAATGTCATCTAAAAGCATTTGCTTGTTTCTAGTAAGGTTCCTTAAAATACAGTTACAAGGTAACAGAATGCTTAAGTATTTTGATATTACATTTACTCTGTATAAATAGCCTCTACTAGTGACATGTTACAGTGATCCAGCACAATAGCTTTCATCTACATTTTTAAAATATATTTTCTGTGTAAGAATGGGGAAGTTGCACTGAGGTATCCTCTTGAGCACCTATGTCCAATACAGAAGACTCTGTGCCTGAAAATTTGTGCCATTTTTTCCCCAACTGTACCTGCTGATATTAAAGATTTTTGCCTTTTTCTACAAATACAAACTCTGAAAAACAACTGTTAAACAGTTTCTTTAAGAAACCTAATACTGCACTGGCAAGAAATCATGTCTCTCCAAAAAGAAAAAAAGAAAACCCAAGTCATTGAGTAGACAGAGGTAGGAAAAGGTAGATATCTCTGGAAAACCCAAGTCATTGAGTCAGAGGTAGGAAAAGGTAGATATCTCTGAAAACAGTTAAAGAATAAGGGCTTCCTTAATTGGAGGAGTAGGATTAAGACAAATAGAATTTAATCCCACTCAAGTAGACGTTGCCTCATGCATTGAATTGTTGGCTCAAATAAGGTGAAAGCTTCCTCCCCAAATTGATTTAATTTCTCCTTTCTAGGTGAGTTCAACGGTTAAAAATAAGGCTAAAATAGATTTCATGGCTCTGAGTCTCTAAGGATAGCAATGCCAACACTATGTACAAACTTCCAAAATAGCCTTTGGCTCTCGCTATTTCTTCTCAGACTTTTTTTTCCTTCTCTCCCTTCATCACCTTTCCTTCCTCCTTCTGCACATTCTTCCCCCCAAACTCGCATCATGGTCTCTGCTGACAGTGTAGAAATGAGTATATGACAGCCTGTGTTCTGCCCCTTCCCAGGCCATCCTCTAAACCACAGAGCTGGAATCATGGGCCTACAGGAGCCATTAGGAAAATAATAATCGGAAAATATACAATTAATTTCAATAGTTGCCTTCTAGCATCACTACAGGGACAGATGGGCTACCTTATCTACGGGGGTGAGTCACGTGAAACTACTAATTTGTAAACACATTACCAAGTCTAAGCCATAGCTCTACCTTATCACAATGTTTAGGCTGCCAAGTTACCCTCTTAAAAAAAAAAGAAAAAAGGAAGTCTTATTCTTCTGGAAATCCTGAACAAAGACAAAAACAAGTTAAACTAGAAAGTCCTTACTCCTGAACTCTGCAGAATGTAGGGATATGGGAAGGGTACTAGATTCAAAGAGCTCACTTTTACAAGCTTGTTGATCAGTGAGAGGGAGGAATGGTGAAACAAGGGAATAGTTAACTAAATAGATTAGCTAGAAGTACAAACAATAAATTTAAAAGTATTAATACACATATTAAATCATCATCTTTCAGAGTCAGCCTCCTCTGAAGATGAAACTCACAATTCACACCTCGGTCATCTCAATTTAGAGTTGCAAAGTTTGCAACACCACCTTCCCAACATTCACAGTTCCCTTTCTAGGCACAAGTAGCAAAAAACGTAAGTATTTAAATTAAAACTGAGGCAGTGAAACACTCTGGCTTAGCTGGTTGTGAGACTGAAGTCAAAGGTTAATTTTATAAGAGCATACAGAAGAAGCATAGAGCCAGCTATCCTCAGAGACACGCTCTGGACATCCTGTTGTGAAAAAAGCTCTAAAGAATTATAATTCCATCAAATAATGGATTTATACAATGAGAATAACGACAGAAGTACTAGAGCAAATGTTTACCAAAACTTTAAATTTGAAAAGTGCTTTTTCTTACTATTTCTATTCAACGAGTAATGCTTCAAATACTGAGTCATTATGCCAAGTAGAGCTATACAAAGTCGTTGAATTTTTTTACGAATTGGGAATTAAAAAATATGCATCTCAGTCCACATCCACATAAACCAGATGGTCCAGTTTATCAAATGAGTTTCAAAATCAGTTTAGAAATGAGTATAAACCTAGATGTGAATGCTCATGAGAGTCAGAGAAGCTTGTACGCAATTAGCTTGAATTGATTACTAATGGAATAAGACTAAAATTAAAAATGCATATCACACCTAACAGTGATTTGTCTTAACTGGTTCAACATTATTTCAATAGTGAAACTGATAAAAATTTCTCCTGTCCTGCCCTCAATAATTTGTCAGCTGCTCAGTGATACGTCCATCACTGTTCCACTGCCCAAGCTCTGCTCTAGCTCTACACGTTGTATTGCTGCATTTCAGACACTGGAATCTGCTCTTGGATTCCTTAAAGTCTAGGCCACCAAACCATACACTTAATTTACGGTGAGTCCATTTTCCCAAGGACTAACGAAACAAATATAGGTTCCCTATTTAATACACATAGGTGCCTACAAGAGTGAAATTCATTTCCCTAACAGGCACAAAAACCTTGTAGAAAATCACAGAGAATAGATTCATCTCACACTGTGGAGAATAGAATAGTTTAATCAAGCAAACTTTTGTGTTGTTATTGTTATTCAATAATAATAGTTATTTTTGGTATTGTTAGTACAAACACATGTATCCATGACAAATGTTTTTCTGCAGGTGGCTCATCCTGGATGAGAACTCTATGCACAAGTTTGTACTTTGCTCCTACCTAGTTACCTAATACGCATTACCATGAACAAGCCCTCTTGTTTTCTTAAGCATCTTCTATTGCTTTGTGCTGAGAATTGAAATCCAGATTTAAAAACCATTCAGTTGCAGGGCAAATTTTTCAGCACTAACAGCCTTGAGGGCAAGTGTTCAAGGTACCCAAGAAGGGAAGATCCGAGTGAGTTCAAGTTTCAATAGGTCACAAAGAGCTCGTGTGTGCTGGTGTGGCCCATGACCAGAGAAGGAAGAGCACCCAAGGCCACACAGCTTCCCCAGACAGCTCAAACCTCAGTGCAAGTTCTCCAAAATGAGGCTGTTTCTGCCTAAAGGCCCCATCTCACGAGCAGGTCCAAAGCACCAGTGATGGCCATTTAGCCTCATAAGTACAGTTTTGGGGAGGTAATTGAAAATATAAAAAAAAAAAAAAAAAAAAAAAAAAAAAAAAAAAGTGCACTACCATTCACCAGCTCATGTTTTTTGACAAATGACTGCAAGACAAAAGTCCAATCACACTGTGCAGTTTTGTTTTCTGGAATGGAGTTCCTCTGTGACGCATTCTTCTATCCGATTTAAAGAAAAATAGTAATAGCAAAAAAGTTTCATCGCTATTTCTTGGTCCTCTCTCACTTTCCTCCAGAAATTGGTTGCTGCAAAGGCTACAGAGCTCTGGTGAATGACTGATGTACACAGCTGCCAGGCCTGAAAACACTCCTAAGCCACAGTACAGGGATTGCTCCACTCACTAGCTAGAAAA